AAAAAAAAAAAAAAAAAAAATAAAAAAAAAAAGGAAAAGAGAAGAAAAACGTACACACACACACGTAAACGCTTATTAGCATTGAAATCAACAAATCACATGTGAAAAATTAGCGATCCTCCCTTTTGTAGTTTGCAACGCCCCTGATTAACGGGCAATATGGTACCTCTATTTTATTTACTTCATAATTTAAACCTTTATCTTAAAGAAATTATATTTGGAGAAGAAAGGGAACACTCTAGTTAAGACACTTATATATTTCTATCAGAGTGATTGGCACATGGAGTCAGTGCTCTGTTGCTAGTAGTAAAGCTAACAGAATTTTAAGGTGTATTTATAGACGTGATGTAGAATGTCAAAAGAAGAAATTATCTCTATATACAAATCATTAGTTAGATCTCACTTGGAATAATGTGTAGAGTTTTGGTTATCTTATCTAAGAAAGAATATTAACTTAATGGAAAGGGTTCAGAAGAGGGCTACTGTGATGACTTTGGAAAGGGTTCAGAGAGGGCTGCTATGATGACTTCTGGAAAGGGTTCAGAGGAGGGCTACTATGATGACTTCTGGAAAGGGTTCAGAGAAGGGCTACTATGATGACTTCTGGAAAGGGCTTCAGAGGAGGGCTACTATGATGACTTCTGGAAAGGCTTCAGAAGAGGGCTACTATGATGACTTCTGGAAAGGGTTCAGAGGAGGGCTACTGATGACTTCTGGAAAGGGTTCTGAGGAGGGCTACTATGATGACTTCTGGAAAGGGTTCAGAGGAGGGCTACTATGATGACTTTGGAACTAGAAGACTTAACTCAAAGGAATAGGTTAAGATCTAATAATGTAACTTCTCTTGAGGTGATCTTATTAAAGTTTGTCAAGATTATCCAGGGGATTGGTAGGATAACATAACTCAGGACCATTTCTTCCCTGATTGCTGTCTTTGTACATCCACCCTTAGGTAAAACAAAAGTTTAATTTCTAAATCCACCCTATACAGTTTTTTAGGAAGTTGATTCCATTCTTAAACTCTTCTATAGTGCTAGCCTCTGCTACTACCAATGGCAACTCATTCCACAAACCAATCATCTTGTTAGTAAAGTAAAACTGTCTTAACTGGAGCATAGCCTGTCTTTCCAAATCTTAAGTTTGGTGCCCCCTTGTCGTACTATCTTTGAAATATAGCACATAAAAATCAGAGGTCTTTAGCCCATTTACCCCTTACATAATCTTGTCAACTTCAAAAGTCACAGATTTCTTTGTATCATATTCTGAATAGAATGAGGAAAGAAGACACCATTTTAAGATTTTAAAAAGCTAGACTAGGCTACAGGTGGATTGGCTTATTAAATGAGCTGCCGTCACCAGTAGTGGAGGCCAGAACTTTGAAGGGTGGGTGTATAAGGAAAGCAAAAGCTAGACTAGGCTACAGGTGGATTGGCTTATTAAATGAGCTGCCGTCAGCAGTAGTGGAGGCCAGAACTTTGAAGAGTTTAAAAGAAGAATCAAAGAGGATACGTTTAAGTTTTTACAAGGGTGGGTGTATAAGGAAAGCCTTGGAGGACCAAATGGTTCCTTGTTGTCTGTACGTTATGGTATTAATAGCTCCCTGGTCTATTACATCCAAAATAATTTTTGAGAATGTTAAACTTAACTAAAGATATTATATGAACATTTCATGAAAATTGTTTCTTTATAAACGAAGCATGGTATAAAACCACTTGTGTGTACTTCTGGTAACTTGACCCAAACATAGGCAACTTTGGCCTGCAGTAACGTGTTATGTGCATAAAACATTACATCCTGCTGTGCGACCATTCCAGTCATACCAACGAGCATCCCTCTTTGGGATAGACATGTTCCATATAGAAAAAAAAAAGGGTAGCTGCAAGTAAAACAAAACCAGGTTGGCTCACAAAGGGTATCAGGGATAGAAGTAGGGATATAAAGGAAGACTAATTACTGATGATAATAAGATCGCTGGACTCATAATTATACTCGTTCATCAGTTTTACAAATGAAGAGTTAAACAATACTCATCATCCTAAAGATTTGGTAGATGGAAACAAGATAATATTAACTGTGATCTTGTTAAAAAAATTAAGCAGTTTAAAGCTCCTAGATCAGAAAATATTTCCCAAAGGGTTATAAAAGAGGATACATATGCTACTTGCTAACATTTGTTTTTTATATGTCCTTGAATAATGAGCAAATGCCAGAAGATTAGAAGTTGGCTACTGTTACTCATCTTAAAAAGTTTAAAATTTTGTTTGACATTCAACATAGCTTCATTAGGGGAAGAGGTTATTGCTTTTGTAGATGAGGGTACGGGTGTGGATTTGGTGCATCTGAATTTTCAGAAGGCATTTAAAAAAAGGTGCTTCATACAAGTTTCTTTAAAAAACTCTCTCTAGGCATTGTGGGTAAGTTGATTAGTTGGATTGCAAAAAATGGCTGGATGAGTAAGCAGGAGGTTGTTAAAATTTGAGTTCAATCAAACTGGATTAATGTCACAAGTTGGGCACCTCAAGACTAGGTGTTTGTACCTTTGTTTTTATTTTATTTACATCAATGACATACAGGAAGGGATGATTTATAGATTGCTTAAATTTGCTGATAATATTTGGGTCTTGTTGGCTGCGAGGAGAATGCTACTGCTTTACAAAAGGATTTAATGAGTCGTCTAATTAAATGGCAAATGGCTTTTAATTGTAAGAAATGAAAATTAATATCAGTGAGGTACCGTAATTTAAGTTAATATTTGATTGGAATAACCTTAATAGTATTATGTAAGAAAAAGATCTTGGCATTTTTTTGGTTGACCAGTCTCTGTTGCTAATGGTAGGACAAATAAGATTTTAGGTTGTATTTCCAGAAATAATGAATACAAGTCTAAAAAAGTTATAACTTCATTGTATAGGTAAAATCTGGAGTATTGTGTTCGGTCTTGGGCTTCTTATCTTAAGGACAGCAAACTGTTGGAAAGTTAAGATCTCTAAACTTGTTTTCTCTTGAAAAAAGAAGAATTAGGGGAGGGGATCTGATTGAGGTGTTTAGGATTAAGAAAATTGATAGTGGTAATGCATTTTTTTTTTAATTTAATGGTGAGAATGGCAGGAAAAGGGAACACAAGTATAAATCATGGCAGGTTAGAGGTATCTTCAACTAAACCAACACTGTTCTTCTTTTCTAACACATTGGTTGATCTTTGGAATGGGTTACCTTCAGGTGAGGTGGACACAGTAAATTTAAAATAGTGTATGTAAAGGCTTGATAAATATTTAAATGGTAAGGGCTGGGTTTGGTTTGTTTTTTTTAAAGTTTAGTTGACAGTACAGCCTTGATGAACCAATAGGATTCTTATCTTCAAATGTTATGCTGAATCATTCTGAGTGAGGGGTATTTCTGTCAAACTCTCTTGTGAAAAGAGGGGGGGTACCATATGAGATAGTCCATTAAGAAGATACAGTCATTATCATTCCAACTTAA